GGTTTGTTCAGTCAAGTGAGCCCTGGCCCTGTGCTGCCGGCCCGCAACACTCGCGCTGCCAAGTCTTTGTTGTGCATTGTCAGGGCCACGGAAAATTACTCCGTTTGTTTAGTTTCGTTAGGCCCTGTTGATAGCATTTTATTAAAAAGTATCGAACCGTTGGTGCCGGCAATAAAAACCATCTCCCCCAATGTCAATGGTATCATTTATTATTTGCCAAATGGCGAGCGGAATTGGACTGTCCGTGAAGTCGTGGAAATGAAGGGGGAGCGAAGGCCTTGCAGCGGTCGTGATGTCAATAAATGGACGGCGCGTCAGCTAGCGGAGCCGTGCCCTCCGGTCCGCTAAAAAGTGAGAAATTGTTGATTTGCCAAGATGCTTCGACCCAAGATCCGTCAGGCCATGGAGGAAAACAGACAGTGGCAACAAAGGGAGCTATTTGAAGCCAACAACATGGCAAACTGCTTTTGGGACAAACTCATCTCAGCACAGAATGAACCAACATTAGCTAACGGATCACAATACACACAAATAACTTGCTCATTTGACAAGTGACATTAAAACTTTTAACAATATTTGTTCATTTCCGTCAGCGTCATTCCATTTAAACTTGTATCTTCCCTATCGGTACTATGTGTAATTAGGTGCTGATATGGGGAGGGGTCATCCCCCTTCCAAAAAGGAGCACTTTTTTAAACAATAAGAGAAAGATAATTTTTGACAGTTCCCTCGCCAAGCGTGTAAAAAGTACCAAAATAAAGTTTCACAGCCCCATAAAGGCCACAAGGGTCAATAGAAAATTCCAAAATGTTGCTTCCCTCAAAACTCTCCCCAAGTTTGCCCCCCCTTCGAAAATTTGGTCCTGGATATGTCTATTTGACAGGAATCTCTTATGTATAATTATGCTGACTGGAGCCCTGTGTGTAGGACTATAACAGGTAAAGTCTAACTACATGTACATTGTTATACTAAGACGATTTAATGGTATCTAAATACTAAATTGAAATTTAAAAAAAATGGTTGGGGAGCTTTTCTATTCTAAAAGCTGTTGGTTTGTTCACGTTTGTAAGTATGCAATGTTGTTGCAACGTCATCGACAAAAGATAGATGTGCCTTCTGAAGTACCATGCCATTTTTGTAATCAGCTGTAGTCAGAGTTCTCGCAAAAAGGCGCCAGCGGTTTTGTGTCTCCTTCGAAGGCGTTCAATAAACGAAGAGAGAAGAAATAAATAGATATTGCTTGCGATTGGCTCGCCTCAGTGTTTAAAGAATAGGAAGTACGGGCGACTACGCACGAATCGCTTATTCTTCACGGCAATTATACCGAGGACTTTGGCCAATATTCCCCAGCAAGGTGAAGCCAGGCACGGTGTATGGCAGAAACCATTAATGCCATCATCTTGATGATTAGTGTTGTTTGTGAGCACAAAACTACGGTTTGACCACCCGCGATAAACCGCTTGCCTTGTTTTCGTAGGCTTCATCAGATCGATTTTTGAGTTTGCTACACGATAATTTATATAGAAAAATACCTCAAGACAAATCAATAAGCCGTGATAAAGTGTTTCTGTTCCCCAGTGCCACTCTCAAAAAGGTCTCAGAAAATGTAACCATTTATCTGTGTTCATACACATAGTCGGAGCTTTTTGAGTTTTGGAATGTATTTGGTTACATGTTTTTGGTTCATTCGTTTCAGTCTTTTCCCATTTTCCCACTCCGCTGATCGTTTCCGGGTTCGGAAATCAAGGAAACGAGACATTTGGTTTATGGGTCTGAAAACTGTAGCTCTGGATTTTGTTAGCTTGATATATTTATGTAATTTAAACTTAGGCTGTAGGACTCCAATTTCAGAGTAGTGTCATGTAAGCCTGTGAATTTAAGTCTGCACACAATGGGTTCATATTATGCTTGTTAAAAGATACCGAAAACCCTGCGGTTAAGTAGTTTTGTTTTAGTCTTTCTGAATGAAAAGGATCTCTTGGCTAGTCAGGGACACCTCAGGGTGCATTTTCATGTTTTTAATTTCTTGTATAGTATATATAAAAAAATTATGCCATACGTGGAAGTCATGAGGTCGAATTTAGGGCAAAATATTCAGCATTCACCCTAAGAAGTTTGATCACCCATCATGGACAGATTATCGGTAAAAAAAATCCACGTTGTGGGCCTGTAATTGAAAACGAAGTCCCAAAAGACATTGGTACTCTTTAAATAGCAAATTATTATTAAACTATCATTATGACCGTCTTGTGTGATAAAAGGAGATCTTTTTGTGCCCAACGCAAAACGTCACTTTTGCTAAAATTTCAGCCCCAAATCACATTTTTCTCAACACGGAGTTGACCGGGTGCTGCATAATTATAACTGATGCCACTTGTCATATTAGTAACACCGTTTGATCTCTGAATGGCAACCATCGTTAGACAAGAGAAAGCTGTCATTAAAATAAGATCCGGGCAAAATTATTTGTGTGGCCGAATCCTGTCAGCTACACTGCACACATTTCACGGGGAGCTAGTTAAAAAGTGGACACTCGATCAGGCGGCAGCATACCAGCATTTTGTCCCTGCATCTGCAGCTCTTCAACTGAACTGGACTTCACGCTCGCCAACCCGGAGACGCAACAGGTTCGACAATTTTGTTAACAGGGGAAACACTGACGCGTCGCTTCAAATCATCGCGAGATTTGAAGAACGGATAAAAAGCAAGGTTGCCCCCATTAGCGGATGGGGGGGGGAGGGGAAAGGGAGCCAAATTTGGTTTCTGAAAACTAATATTTAGGCCTATTAGGGGAGATTTTCTCACTTTCCTTCCCTCTAAAAGTACGTGGATGTCTTAAAATTTAGCTTCACCTCTCAGAAAGGCTTTAAAAGTTTATATCAAGAATTTCCAAACATCCCCAAACCATTTCACACCCCCCTACAAAGATTGGTTTTGGACTGCCCTTGCTTGCCCTGCGAGGATTTCAGCCGAATTCTGCCAAAAAAGTTGAGGATCTGAAGGTTTCCTACACTCGGGCCTAATAGCATGACTGACACACGTCTCTTCTTCCCCCTCCCCAGTTTCCGATCACTATAGTTTCATCGTTTTAAAAACCTTCCCTCTTATTATTTTGAAATACCTTTTTGTAAAATCATTTCATTAAAAAAGACGGAATTGGGAAAAAGCCTTTCAACTAGCTAAGATTAAAGCTTAATTGCATAATGCAGCTTTTGATTGGTGAACAAACCATTACTGGTCAACCGGGGTAAAGGTTCTTGGGGGGGGGCATCTTGTGGCCGGGTCTGGTACTGAAGATTTCAACAGTCCAAACCTGAGTTAATTAAAACGTGGAATGCGCGTGAGTTTGGTGTGTGAAGCTCCCTTTTAATCAAACTAAGGGTCTGTTCGTATTGTCAGTGCAAAAATGCGGTTTAATATCTCGTGCGTATCAGCCCGTGCGTTGAACACATATCAAAGGGTGTACAGTTAACATTCTTGGCCTGGAGAAATGGTCAGTTTGCGAGAACGGTATGTCCGATTTTCAGAAATTTTGTGTCAAAATGACAGCAAGACATCAGCTTAAAAAACCAAGGAGGGGTCGAAGTGATTAAAAGAATATGTTGCGATTATACTGGAGATAGTGTACAGGGTGGATCACACGTTTAGATGGAGAAAACTGTTCTAACGTGTATTTCTGTGAATTAACCAAGGACTGGGCTTAAAACGGTTTATTCATACAGTTGTCGAGATAGAAAAATAATGATACTCCTAAAATAGTCGGGTTAAGGCTGCTCCTGGTCAACGCAAACTAACTATTGGACAATCACGATCGCAAGATCTTGTCACAAGTCAACGACTTATGAAAATACCACATGATGGAGATACAGTTGCGAAACAGCTGCGGACCGAATTTAATAGACAGCACCGTACCGTACGCGTGGCTGTACTCGTGCCGTGGTGTCACGGGTCACGCCCTCTAGTGACCGCAAGTGGCCATGGCCACAAGACCGCCCCAGTATACGGGAAACCGTATACAAAAAGTCCGGCTGCGTATGTTACCCGCGGATAGCTCTGTCAAATAATTTCCAGGCAAAGAAAGTGGAAATTTCTGTATTCCGCTGCTAAGTTGGGCATTGATGCCCTGGAGAAAAAAATGGAAAAGTCTGGCATGGAAATGGGGGGGGGGATGTACCAGTCAACACTGTCCCAGACTAAAATGTTTTTCTGTTCTCGGACATAAATCAGGGACAGCCGTGGAGAAATCGACACCCACAGCTTCAGAGGCCTTAGCAGTTTTAAAGGAAATTACAATAAAAAATAAACTTAGTTCCCAGGCTACCGAAAGGGCTATATTCATCTGGATCTTGAGCCCGTCGGTGCTAAGTTTTCATTTATGGTTTGAGTGTATTTTGGGGGAGGGGTTGATAGTGGGCAACCTAAAGGTGTCATCTGTTTCAAGTACTTCGATTTGTAGTTTGAAGAATGCCATTACGTATGATCAAATCTTTCAGTGTTACATAAACAACACGTTAATAATCGATCAGCTAAAGGCAATAAAACTGCAGAACGATGGTTGAACCACGGAGGAATAAGAACACACCTCCATGTTAGAACTAGGGAAGACACCAATGAACGAAAATGGTGTTTGGAAACCAAACCGAATAAAAATGTCTTGACCGTCAAGGGACTCATGCATCAATCTTTCGAGGGATGGAAAGATTATGAAAAGGATGTTAAAGTTTGGGAGATATTTTAGTAGCAAATTCAACCAGACTACAAACATTTGTCTTATATCCAGAATTCTTCTAAGCTGTACTAAAGCTTTCCCAGCTTAGACAATGCAGATTGAAAAAAGGACGCGAAATATTCCATAAAGGATACTAGCTATTTAAAGAACAGGTGCCCAATTAATTACTGCCGATGCTTCGTTACGCATCCCTATTCCAAAGTGGAGTGACCCTCTGACCCCACGTGCGTGAAAGTGCGTCGCACGTCCAATACTAATGTGTTCATTTCATTCATTGACAAAACGCAAACCACGAGTACGATTGGTAGAATGATGGACGAAATGTGCACATGACACGCACTGATCGCGGTCTGTCACACTTGTAATCGCGACCACAGTTGGGTGTATGAAGGGATTGGAGTGGATTGAATTGCAAATGAAATTCGGCAAAATCGTGCACGGGGACGTTATCAATCAAGCACTCAATTGCTGCATGCGGTGGTGGTGGTGGTGCTGGACTGTGGAAACATTAACAAAAGACCGGCCCGGGAACTTCGCTTAGTTGTATTGGCAATCGCAGCGTGGTGTTTGTCGTGGCTCTGCTTGATCTTTGGAAAAGAAGACGTGAAGTAAGGTTCAGTGTAACTTCTCGGTACACCGTTCGTTGTTGTGCGAGTTACGGGGAAAGAAAACAATGATGAACTCGCCACCTACTCAGGTCCCACCGACCAGCGTGCTGTACAAGCTGGACAAGGTTGCGTACAGCACCCCGCCACCGGTCAGCTCGGACCCGGCCAACAACGAGTGCAAGCTGATCGAGTACCGGGGGGCCAAGGTGGCTAGCTTTACCATCGCCGGCGATGTCATGATCTGTCTGCCCCAGGCCTTCGACTTGTTCCTCCGGCATCTGGTGGGCGGCCTGCACACGGTCTACACCAAGCTGAAGCGGCTCAACATCATCCCCGTGGTCTGTAACGTGGAGCAAGTCCGCATCTTGCGGGGCTTAGGCGCCATCCAGCCCGGAGTCAATCGCTGTAAACTGCTGACCAGGAAAGAATTCGACATCCTCTACGAAGACTGCACCACAGCAAGGTAAGAAAGTTTTCTTCTGGCGCAAGCTCAGTGTGTTTCTTGGAATCTTAGAGAGGTTTACAGTTTCGTGTCATAGCCCTACACAGAACACGTGCAGGCGAATGAGTCCATTCACATTTTTGTTTCAATTCAGTTCAGGGGATCGAAGATTTTTTTTTAGTTGTGGTTATAGAATGATAAAGTAGTGTACAGATTTTTTTCTCAGAAAGGGCTTGGGTGCTTTGTAACATGTTTGTAAGGTGATGGTCAAAATGCAGGATTTTCAAATGACCATGAGACTATCGGAAATTCAGTACCCGTATGCTGGTACACATGGTACATGTACTACCATCATGACCATGCAGGCTGCCTTGTGTAAGATTTTTTTTCAGTATGTGTTTGCTTTGCCATTTTTAAATTAATAATTCAAAGTCAGATTTTTTTGTATCATACTTAAACACATTTATGTTGGTAGCGCATTTGTAACTGTGTTGCAAAAACTAATTGTTTCAGTCGTTTGACCAGCTTGTGGGTGTACATGTCAGCCTTTCTTTCCAATATACATGATATAGAGAGAGTTCCATATCTGGACATCACTTGACATCCTGTGCACAAACCGTATGAAACTGGTGTGAAACATTCTAAGTGTTTTCTAAGTACATTTAAATGTTTAAATGTTTTCACTGCTAAATTTGGCCTGTAAACTACTGCAAGAGAAAATTAGTGATGTGGAACTCTCACACCTCAATTTCAATTAAATGTAACTCTATTCTCAAAACAAAATCTTACTTTGAAATTTAAGCCTACTTAATAAAAAAGTGGACAGAAGTCATAATTTTTTTAAATGTAATTTACCAGTCATCGCAAGTGATAGGATAGACGGTGTAACAGCTGGTGCAGAGGCTGTTTTCTCCTCCAAATTCAATACAGAGTACAATGTAACAAATTCTGCAGAACTTTACCACTCTGTTGTGTTGGACTCTGCAACTCTCCGAGGCTTATTGAGACACCAACTGAGTGAGATTATGGTTGAAAGATCTGTACCATATTCCATTAAGAGGCTTTCATACAGATAATGCAATGTTTTTGAGAATATCAAAGGGAAATGTGGCCAGCAGTGTGCTCACAGCAGATAAAGAAACCACATTGCCTTTAGTTTCAGTGGGAAGGCGTTGCAGGGCTCTTAGTGATAACTGAAAACACTAACCTGTACTGGCATGCCATCAATTAAACAAACATACCCGTCAAGGGGGTTTTAGTTTTGCAGGTAAATATTGTGTTGATAAATGGCAATCGTTAATAGCGTGATATGTGGATGATTAATCGTAGATAGTTTGATACTGATGTTGTTTTGCCTGCCATAAACACAAGGCCTCATTTTGAATGTTGTGCTAAATCTGCAGTACTGGGTCCCAAGTCCAACTTTATTACACAATGCTTGGTGTTTTGCCCGTTTTTGTTTTCTGGGAAATGTTGAATTTCAGTGAGTAACTTTCAGTGGGCTGCAAGTACTTTGGTTCTCTGCTTTGTTACAGATGTCAACTTATCCCAGTTTGTACGTATACTCTGTTGTAAATAATGGAGAGATTATTGAATCTTTGCATGATTTGGAATGAATATTGGTGCTTAAATTCAAAGGCTTTGAATAATTCTGACAGTGTCAAGAACATGGTCAATCTTACAGACTTTATAAAGCATATTGTATTTGATTGTAAGGAGCTGCACATTCAGGGGGGTGAACTGAACCTTTCAACAAAAACCTCCTAAGCAAACAACTGAAAGACCTCATCGACCATTGTGTTGTCCAAGGCATGTACATAGCACAAGGGATCGCATCACACAACTGCTACATAAACTTACACACTGTGGCGTTACTCGCTTCGCTTGACACATTTTATGAAAGCAGAAATGTGCACGAGTCGCCGTCAATAAAACTCTGCAACTGTAGAATGCCGTAAACAAATTAAATTTCCCTTGTTGGGCTGATGAACGGATGTGGCACTGTTGCAGATCTCATTTTGTGCTAGGGAAGTCCATATCTTTGTCAGGTCCGGCCACAGCCCGAGATTTTATTGCAGGATTCTGAGCAGTTACCCTGCCCTGTGCTGTTCTTGTTTACGCTTTCGAAAAACAGAATTAGGAACAAAAGCTGTCATTTATTACCTGAGATAATGCGTTCCAGTCTTTGCCATAAAAAGAAAATCTGTTTCTTTTGGAAGTATATTACTCAGCGGCCATATAGCCCAGGATGTTGATCATAAATTGTTGGAAAGGAGCATTTAGTGGGGCATTTCCAGTTTTGTTTTTCGACTTGCTCACCCTGTGCACTCGCTAACTTTGTTTACATGAATTTGTCTCTCCTGTCCTGCAGTAGCCAAAACAGCTACATATTGTGGTTCAAGCATTGTTCTTTTTTTCTTTTTAAATCCTGCGGCAGGTCTGTGAAAAAATTTTTTGGTTCTAAGGAATTTATCTTTGCGCTGGACATGGGTCAGCTTACTAAGGGTTGCCGCTTGAAGTCAGGTCACTTGATGCAAGTTCCCAAAAAGATCACTGGAGATGTACATGTACATCTATGTGAATCACAAATCATTAATTATCTGCATTTATTCTCCCACAAAGAGAGGGGCAGACAAAATTCATATCCCTCTCATCACTGTAATTATGACCCCCCCTCCCCCCTGAGGTCATAGCTATAGTTGTGCTGCCTACCTTGCCAATCATTTCCGTTATTTTGCCCCCTAAGAGTTCATTTTGGCCTTGTTTATAGTGGCGAGACTGCTAAACTTGCAAGCCTTATCGGCTGCCCCCGTGCTGAGTCAAACATTGGTAAGTGGTTTGTCTGTTCCTGTTTTTGAAGTGGGAGTAAACTGAAAAATGTGTTTGCAAGCACTCAACTCATGGAGGCTTTTCATGGCTGCCATGACGTTTCGCTTTTTTTTAATCAATCTCCCCAGCTCTCCTTAGAAATATTATTTTGGAGAAATATGAGGCTGGTTTCTGTGGTTTTTTTTTTTCATTTGACACAAAGCATACTTGATACTTGTTGTGGATTAGGAACACATTGTATGTGGTATATTTGAGACATTTTGTGATCAGTGGTTCAGTGGCAAGCACAGGTTTCTGTTTCTGTGAGAAACAAGGAACAGAATTAACATATGTAAGGGCATTAGGGCACATTAACAAACAAAACCAAATCAATTGAAAACATACCCAACAGTGGATTCATGCAAATTTACTTTTGTGTTCGGAACCCAAATGAATAATTAGAGCCACATGTATGTAAATAATAGCCAGTTTACGAAACCGAAACAGATTGAATAAAAATCCAACAAATGAAATTCTGGAAATTGACAATTCTTTCTATTTCTAGTAGTGCTTATTAGTAAAAGAAAAAGTTACATGGAAATAAGGTTCAATTAATTATAAAAGGTAGTGTAGCCTTCTTCAGGCTTCTTGTTTGAAACTTGAAAGTCCTCTTTCAGTGGTTTGTACACATTGAAGACAGCCCCTAAATGTTGTTTTTTTGTATTAAAGGGTTTATGCACCCTTTGGTCTGATGATTATTCAGCAGTTTGATCAAGAATGCATCCTTGATGGTGAGAAGATGCCTCCTTGGTTGTCAATATTTGACCAGTACTATGCCGGGGAGACAGGTCAAGTGGCCCGGATTGTGTTGTTGGTGAATTGTAAGCTAGGGGTCTTAGTCCCCACCTTGTTTAGTTCTCACAACTCCAGTATTCAGTGATCCCCCACCCTGTCAAGTGGCCCAAGATGAGATATCAAGGCCTGGCTCTGTGTGTTTGAGAGTCTTAGCAAAGGGCAGTCACAAGCTCCTTGAGAATGGAGGGTGTCATCCCTGATCTGGACTGTCAAGAGAATGAAGAAGGCCGAAGAAGAAATCACCTCACGTGGTTGGCTTGGAGTTGTTATTACACTGTGGGAAGTTGCCGAATACAGACGGAACGGCAAAAGGCCTGAACACATTTCTGCTTGTGGATCATGGTGATTTCAAGCACTATCCATCTTAGTCCTTGGCAGTTTGCCTGATTTGGACAACTTCAAACAAAACTTACAGTTTGAGAAATGGAAAAAATCGGCTTTTAAGTATAACAAGCAAATTAACCAGTGGAGTGCAGGTGTGCTGTTTGTTGGTTCACAAGATTTCCCCAACATTTTTTTAATGGTCATGCTTACCATGAAAAAACAGCATTAGGGTTTGTGCAGCATGAAATTTTCTCAGTGAAAATCTGGGTCTCAAAACTAAAGCTTTTGAAAGGAGTGTTTTTGTTCCAACTGGGAGCGTAAGTGAAATCCTAGATGTATTTCTGGATAAATCTGTAAAATTCTGTAAAATGTTGTGTTTGTAATTAGAGCACATTGCTTAACTTTCTGGCTGAGCTATAGTGAACATTTTTTGCCATTTGTTGATTTCTACAAAAATGTTGCATTTTATGCAGTCTGTTGGCCTAATTAATTTAACATAATATAGGAATTTTTCTAATTGACAAGGAGTCAGTAATGTTCGGAAGAAGATGAGAAAACAGTCCCCAAATCAAACAACACCTTTTTGTTGTGTGGAAATAATAGGTGGATTTGTCATCCCTGAGCAGAAAGTCATTTCGTTTAATACAACATCTGTCACTTCAATTGAGCACAAAAGGACATCGTCAGATATATGCCGGGCAATCAAGAAAGCATTGGGCAGAATTTAAATGAGACATTGTGGCCGTGAAGCCTCAGATACACACCGAGCCAGTTGCATTTCTAATGATCAGAATAAATCGTGATAGCAATCGAGATCTGGTATAATTAGATCATTTCCCTGGCTTGTCTGACTGTAGTACGCTGTGCTCAGAGAGCCCCCCTCAACAAAAAACTGTGACAGATGGCTTACACTCCATTCCGATCAGCAATCAGAGTTTATATTATTGGACTGCATTGAATGAAAGAGGTCATCCAAGACAAGTGGGGGGGGTGTGACTGGGCCTGTGCCATGCAGGCTGTTGTTGGTGCACTGG